TGATTGGGTGGGAGCTTGGCTGTGTTCTGATTGGGTGGAGGTGTGTTCTGATTGGTTAGGGGCGTGGCTGTGCTCTGATTGGCTGGGGGGTTGGCTGTGCTCTGATTGGCTGGGGGGTTGGTTGTGCTCTGATTGGCTGGGGGAGTGTTATGTTTGGTTGTGCTCAGGTTAGTCTGAGTTGCAGAGGGGTTTAAGATTTTGGGCTGCCTTGCTATTTTTTGGCTTCGCGTTTGTGGTCGTGCCTCATTTTCATGGAGGGTGTCAGTTTGCTTCGTGTATGGATTGGAGGGCTTTGAAGTGGCTAATGATGCAGCTCTGGTCTGGCTTCTGGTTTGTGGTCGTGCCTCATCATCGGTGTGGCTTTGGGTTTGCGTTTTGCGTGGATGTGTGGTGGTGACATCCTGTGTGGTTTTTGTGAGTGTGGGTCTGGTATCATTTTTTGTATTAGGGAGTCGTTTGTCAATTATTGACAAACGACTCCCTAATACAAAAAATGATACCAGACCCACACTCACAAAAACCACACAGGATGTCACCACCACACATCCACGCAAAACGCAAACCCAAAGCCACACCGATGATGAGGCACGACCACAAACCAGAAGCCAGACCAGAGCTGCATCATTAGCCACTTCAAAGCCCTCCAATCCATACACGAAGCAAACTGACACCCTCCATGAAAATGAGGCACGACCACAAACGCGAAGCCAAAAAATAGCAAGGCAGCCCAAAATCTTAAACCCCTCTGCAACTCAGACTAACCTGAGCACAACCAAACATAACACTCCCCCAGCCAATCAGAGCACAACCAACCCCCCAGCCAATCAGAGCACAGCCAACCCCCCAGCCAATCAGAGCACAGCCACGCCCCTAACCAATCAGAACACACCTCCACCCAATCAGAACACAGCCAAGCTCCCACCCAATCAGTTCATACCCCCACTGGCAGTTAAAAGGAAGAAACAGCTAAGACCACACATTGCTGCTCGAAGCACGAAGCTGAAAACACCAGCCTGAAGATGACGAATGGGACTTCGTCGAAACGTCGCCAAGACACTTCCAATTTTACGCGGGAGAAAACCCGAACAACCAAAGACCTACATATATATATATATATATATATATATATATATATATATATATATATATATACACACACACACACACACACACACACATACATTGCTTACTGGTGTACACTGCTTAGAGAGTGCTTGCACTTAAAGCGGTAGATAAGTCTCATAAATAAATAAATAAATAAAGGCTGTAGGGCAAAGGCTGGAATTAGATTGCCCTACCACTCCCCCTGGCCACTGAACCAGAGGTATCTAAAAAAAAGCCCTGGTTCTACTTGCAGTCACTTGCTTCCACCTGGAGTGGACTGCGGCCTGCTAGTGGGGCTTGCTATGTTGCCAGGCCAGCAAGATAAAAGGTGGCAACAGCACAGTGTCAGAGGCTAGGACTACTGTAGTGGTTAGCAAGCCCAAGGTGACCAGGGTTTGAGATACCAGAAGGCCCAATAATTAACTCTTGGGCCTATGCCAAGGATAGCAGGAAAAATTCCAATTGCCACGAGGGGAATTACCAAAGATGACCTGATAGAATTCCCCCCCCCCAGGTCCTTGGCTGAGAAAAGCAGGGAAAGGCCCTTGTCAAGGGAGGCCTCAGTAAGGCCTTGTTCGGTCCTGGCTAGGCCGAAGCCTCCAAGATGGCAGCTGCAGGCTACAGGGCCCCTGCCCACGTCTAGGCCTTCGCTGAGGGAATGCTCCCCCAAGGTTGAAAGGAAGGCCTTTGGTTGGATTTAAGAAGGAGAGATAGGTGAGAAAGTCCTTTCTACCCCCTCCACCTTCCCTTGCAATCCGCAAGGGTTTGGGAGGCCACGCGGTCACCAAAATGGCGACCAGAATTCAGGCCGCTCACCTGATCCTTCCTGGGGAGGAACGGAGCTGAAGAAGGTCCTGCAGCTGGTCGTCGGAGTTCCGACAAACCCACCGCCACTTGAACGGCCGAGAGACGCTGCGAGGCCGCCTGAGGCCCCTGCAGCCTCCACATACCCAACCAGCTCTTTAAGGCTGTCAGAGCTGCAGCCGCGAGCTCCAACCACCAGAAGGGAGTTGAGTCCTCACCGCAGCCTCTGAAGAGCGACGGCAAATAAATCCGAGGCCCCTGAGGCCTCCGCAAGCCAGGCCGGGCTGTTTAAGCTCGTCGGGCCTGCAGCCGCAAGCCCCGACGCCGGGAGAGTTGGAGGGGGGGTAGCGGGGAAGGAGAAAGCAAACCAAACAAAAGGAAACGCGGAAAGCCTCCCTTTCCTAAACAAGGGAGGGGGATTTAGAGGCCAAACGGAGTCCTCCGTCTGGAAGGCTGAGTCCCAGTGGGAATCAGTAAAATTTGGTCCTCTAGAGGAGCGTTGGCCCAATGCTGCTCAGAGGACTCAGAAGGAAGGGAAGTTTCTAGTCTAATAATGAAATGGATAATCCACTAATAGGTATCTACCTGTCTGTGAGCCAAACCTGCACGTCTGTTCAGGGCCGAAAACTGGGGCAATCAGGCCCAGGACAGGCGTGGCAAGTTCGGCTGACTTGATCTGATTGGGCAGGAAGATTAAGTTAACCCATTAGTGGATTATCCATCTCCAGTGCTGGAGAAGAGAATACTTATAGCTCAGGGTTAAACTGTGGGGTGCTTGGTGCTTTTTGAGCTTGGTTGTTTTCTTGCAGACATTTCATTACCAAACTTGGTAACATCATCAGCACTCTACTTCCATCATTTCTAAGATCAAATGCTTCAAATTTCATTTAAGTGAAGTGTGACAACACAGCAAACCAAAATGCAAGAGAGAGCTTTAGGACTCCTTGTTGTTATGCTAAAGGAAAACATGAGAATATACAAGCTTAGGAAATGCTAGTCTTCTTCTCATCACATCCAAATAAAGCCAATTAACACACACATATAGGAGAAAGGACCAGACACCTTTCCTTTGAAATGTCATATAGAACACCAAAAACTCCCAAGTGCAAATGTGGTTGTTTAAAGATCATACAACTCTTTCCAGAACAGCATCTCCAGCTGAGCGCAACTCAGCTTCCATTTCCAAAAGTGACATTTTAGTTTGGCACATATTGTAGCCATGTATTACTGTAATCCAGAGAAATTACTGGATTAGGGTGCCATGTAGAATGTGGCTGCAATTTGTACATGCAGTGCCCATCATTACAATATAGCTGGATTTTCTTTTTATGCAGACTTTGTTGCATGCAACCTAAGAGACTTAATAAACTTAACTTGATAATTTCACATGATTTCTCACAAATCTTCCCACGTACTCAAGTACAAATTTTGGAAACTGCCCTATAACAAGTTAGATCACTGAACCATTGGACTGCTTCCCAGCTTTATTTGGGAGAACCCAGAGAAATAAAACCTGGACTTGACTGGGATTCTACTTCTGAACTATAGACCTCATGTTCCTTTCAGAGACATTAGTGAGCATTCTACAGAAATCAGTAATACAGTGGTTGGGAATAAATGAATGTATTTATTTAAAATTCTATTCTCCCTTTCGTTTTGGAGCAGAAAGTGGTATGAATGGTGTTTCCTCCTCCTTGTTCTTTCTCAAAAGAACAGGGATGTCTGTTGGGTTGAGTGAGAAAGACTGGCTCAAAGTCACCCAGTGAAGTTCTATGGCTGAGGATGGACTTGAACCTTGCTCTTCCTATAGTCTTAACTACTGCTCCCTCATTCTCTTTGGCCTTTTGCAGTGTCGATGGGGAGAAATGAACATATATGTTGAAGATTTAGAATTCACTTTACTTTAATTTATAGGTCATCCTTTGACTTACTATCACAATTGAGCCTGGAATTAGGTTATAAATCTTTGTGGATGTAAGTCAAAGAATTACCTAACCAAATTTAAGTTGCAACCACTTTGTATGACAATTGTTAAGCAAATGCTATGGTCATTAAATGAATAAAGTGTTCATTAAATGAATCTATTTCCCCAATGGACGGGTTTTGCTGGAAACCAGAACACCAGAAACTGGCAAAAAAGTCACAAATTGTGGCCATGTGACTATGGGACACTGCAAACGGCCACAAAAGTGAGCCAACTGCCAAGCCTCCAAAATATAATTACATGATGCAAGAGGTTGCAACTGTTGTAACTCCACACACGGGTTCTAAGTATCTCTGGGAGATCCATTGTAACTTTGAACAATCATTAAGTGACTGATCATAAGTTGAAGATTTATGTTGTGTGAAGTGTATATTGCATAATCCTCCTGAAGCAACCTGTTTGTTACCGGAAATACATGTTTTGTGCCTGCTTGGTTCATATCATGATATCCATTTTTATAGCCTTAGTAACCCTTTAGTCCGAATAGCTCACTCATCAATACAGAGATGCTTAAATTTGAGAAAACAGGTTTACCTTTTTTTAAATGAGGAAACTAGAAATCTAGGCAATATCTGTCCAGCAGCGGCCACAATATTCAAGCACCAAAATCCAAATTCTATTCCAAGACCAGTATCTGATAATAGTCATGAACATTTCCACCAGGAAGAAAAAGATAAACCTTTAGCCTTGCTAGGCACTGAAAAACTTATTCCAATACTATAATAAATATTTCCACCATCCTGTCTCATTTCTCTGCTATTTCCTTTTTTAAAAAAGGATGACTTGATTATCACTAGGCTTCTCTTATTCTGCAGAATTGTCACTTAATTTTTTTTCCTCCCATAACTGAACAACTAGGATTTCAATAAAAACAACCCTCATACTAGCTCTACCATCTCCCCAAGGGCATAAATCAGAAAATGTCTCTTAGGGGTTTTTTTTCAACTAGTATCTCAATCCCTTATTGCCATATCCTCTCTACCCTTTCAGAAAACAAACCTTTATTAATTTGTTCTATGGAATTATACTCAAGTCTTCCCCTTTCCATTTTCTAGAACCGATTGATTAAGAAAATGTACATATCAAACCATCACCATATGAAACTTACCAGGGATAACTAGAAATAGAAGTCTGGGTGCACTTTTATCATTCCAGAGATCTTCCCAAGGGCCACACTTTAGAATCTGTGTAAGGGCTCCAGAAATGTAAGTGAACTCTTCATGTATCAAGTCTTGTTCTTTGGAATCTGATTTCATGCTTGTTGCTGAAGAGAAAACAAAGAGAGTTTAAAGGTAACTAGTTAGCTATGAATAATCATCCCATACTTGTTTGGCTTTATAAAAAATGCCAGCAATTTTCTGGCCAAACAAGATACAGGAGTTTTGTCAACTCCTACATGATGGTTTCAGAAATTCTCATATAGTGAATAAGTAAGGTTAACAGCAGCTTCCTATGTTATTAAATACTCGCAGAAGAGGCACTGAATCTTATCAGAATTACAACTGGTAATTTACAAAATTACAAGCGCAGAATGTTCACTAAAGCTAATTATATCAAGGGCAGTGGTGGGATTCAAATATGTGAACAACCGGTTCTCTGTGTGGATGCCACTTCTGGAAGTCCATTCTGGGCCTGGGCAACAAAAAATTAGCTACCGGTTCTGCCGAAGTGGTATGGTGTGAATCGGCTGAATCCCACCACTGATCAAGGGCCTGATGTTTATTGCATGTAGATTGAAAAAAAAATCAATGAGCAGGGTAGCAATTCAAGGCTTTTATTCCTAGTACATTAGTTTCTTGAAAAGCTGCTAAATGAAAAAAAATGAATGTAATGAAAAAAAATCAGACTTATTTTAAACTTTGTCAAGGAAAATAAATTCTCAGATTTAATTTACCAAATTCAAACTTTTCAGTGCCAACTTTTTTTTATTAAAAAAAATACTTCAATTAATGGGATTAAATCATACCTGGAGGGAATCCACTCCATTTGCTCCCTGATGCACTCTAGAGCTAATATTGTATGGTATTGCTTTGGAGGAGTGCTCCCCCCACCCCTTGAAAATGGGGGGGGGGTATTCCTTAAAACTACAGGTAGTCCTTGACTTACAACAGTTCATTTAGTTACAGTGGCACTGGAAAAAGTGACTTATGATCAATTTCACAGTTACGACCTTTGTAGCATTCCCATAGTCATATGATTAAAATTCAGATGCTTGGCAACTGGTTCATATTTATGATGGTTGCTGTATTCCAGGGTCATGTGATCACCTTCTGCCACCTTCTGCCAACCAAAGTCAATGGGAAACCAGATTCACTAAACAACCAGGGTTACTAACTTAACAACTGCAGTGATTCACTTAACAACTGTGGCAAGAAAGATCGTAAAATGAGGCAAAACTCACTTAACAAATGTCTCACTTAAAAACTGAAATTTTGGTCTCAATTGTGGTCATAGGTCAAGGACTACCTTTACCAAGAAAGAGGAAGGGGTTAATATTCCTTTTTAGATCTCTGATGTTCTTACCAGTCTTCATCAGTTAATGCCTTTTGCTAATAAAAATCAGAAAATATCATGGCACCATTTGACACTGAATACAGTTTGCTGCATATGCAATAGTGAGCCTTATCTCTGCCACAGGAGAAATCAAACAGGAATTTTTTTCCAGCAACATCCTTAGGGAACAAGGTACAAAATTTCTCTTCAGAGAAATTGCATGATGCAACCATGTCCATCCAAAGTGTGACAATTTATTCTTACATAATATTTGAAACCACATTATTTCATTGTACCCAGGAGAGGTTACGTTCCAAACATCAACATCATAAGACTACTGTTGCCTCTCTGTAAATTATTTTTTAATAGTTAAAAGAACAGTCCAGAAAGCAGTAATGATTTTCCCTCTTTCCTGATAGAGAACAGGATTGGGGGAGGGAGGGAATGTCTTCTGTAGTATTTTTTTGTCCAAATCATAACATATAAAAAAATCAAGAGAGGCAACCATACTCCCCCCCCCCCGCGGGACTATGCCCACCTCGTGGCCAATAGTTAGGGTTAGGCTAATGATCATGGGAACAATAGCCAAAATAAAGCAGCAGCTAGTCCAAAAGTGCAGGGCCGCGGGGTTTGTTGGTTTGTTTGTGTGTGAAACAGATGGAAATATTGCATTTAGTGCAAACACGACACTGAGCAGGAAGATTCCTTTGTTATTCTTCTTTTCCGCACCAGATTGCCTCGCTTTAGTTGCTCCATCAGCCTCGTTATTTCAACTATAAAGTTCAATTATTAACATAGGCTCTGTGCAATTATGACCGTTTGATGGCTGTCCAGAAAACAAGCAAAATGTGATGGCTTCTGCCATCATTACCCTAGAAAAAAAAGGTGGGAAACGGGAGCGATTAATATCGGGGGCTGGAGAAGAGGAGCACCGGAGCAGAGCGGAAAAACCAACGAGGCAATCCTTGGTCAAGCACGTACCTTCCCCATTCAGCGGTTCTCGACCGGCTCCCAGCATCTCTCAGGCAGGGAGAAGCGTAGCAGCTCCCGGTCCTCACACGCTCGGCCGGGCGGAAGTTAAAAACAGTAGCGAGATGCACGCTCGGCACCCGTGACTCTTCCGCCCGGCTGAGACGTAAAGGGGCGTTGAGACTCGAATCGTTCTAAAGGTTCCACCCCCCTCCCCCGAGCAGGGGAGGCCATTGGGATTTGCTTAATTCCCGTATTCAGAGTATAGATTGCACTTGGGGGCGGCTTCGCTTCTGATGCACGCATGCGCAATCCTCTATTCCTTCGCGACTTTTATATCTTTTACAGTAGCAACAAGGTAAAAAACTTGGGTGTTCTCTGCCTGTCTGTCATCTCATCAATCTATTCAAAACATTTATGTATCTTGCAACCATCTTGCACCAAACTGAGTGGCTTACAACCCAAAAATAAGATATCTATCTATAATTAAAATACTAAAACTAAAACTATTAAAACCAATAGACTTTTCACCACAGTTAAGCTCTGCCATACAGCCTGCAACAAGTTCATTTTACCAATCTCACCCTATCCCAGCCCTTGGAGGGAAAAGCCGGGTCTTTAGCATTTTTTTGGAAGTTAATAGTAGACTCCCATTCCAGCCCATTTGCAGTGTAAAACAGCACTTTAATGCCCTGGAAGCCCCAGTGTTCCTCTGAGTCTCAGGACGCTGCCTCCTTTCACTTCTAATCCTGAATTGAAATAGTTCCCTACCTTGGTATTCTTCCTAGATCTCTGGATGGGCATATTGCAATCTCCAGCATCCTAGTTTTGGTTTCTATTTATGATTGCCTCTAATACAGTAAGAGCATTTGCCACACAATATTACACATTTATGTATTAAGTCAGCATTATTTACCATCTTCCCACTTTCTTAGAAGGGTGTTACAGTAAATGGCCAGCCAGGCTGCCCAAGTATAGGAACTGGGCTTATTTACAGTAGTGGCCAAAATTGTGGAAACCTTTTGTGAAAAGTGTACTTTTGAGGTTTAATGGCTAATAACACCACTTTTTTTGGAGTAGTACCATAAAATTATATATCAATGGAAAGATAATTTAATCAAGAATGTAATGCAACAAAGTTTGTTAAATTATCTGTATTGTATTCTATGAAAAGTTATAGCCAAATAGCCAGAAAAAGGAAGCACAACTTGCTTAGGTTGATATCAGGTAGTTTTCCTTCATCTGATTGTAGCCAATGAGCATGAGTGTTTAGAGAGCCAATCAGGTGTCATCTTGCTTTGGCAATGAGCCAATCAGATCAAAGTGGGATTCAGTTATTGATGTCATGTATTGAAGCTGAGAGGAGAACATTATGTGTTATGTGATCACTATCAAGTTGGTTGGGTTTTTTTTTTCCTTTCATTTAATGAGTTTGTAAAACATAATAAAATTAAAGTAATGGTGCAAAGAATTGACTGGTTACCCAGAAAGCGATGTAAAATAGTATTGTTAAGTGAACAAGGCTACAGTTATAAAGAAATTAGAAGAAAAATTGGTGGAAACTTAGCCAAAGGTGGCATTTCTACTGTACACTTTTTCCAAAAGGTTTCCACAATTTTGGCCACTACTGTATATTCCCTAGCACCAGAGATAGTGTCATATACAGGTAGTCCTTGACTTAAGACCAAAATTGGGACAAGAATATCTGTTATTAAACAAAGCAATTGTTAAGTGAATCATGCCTGATTTTATGCCCCTTTTTGCCATGGTTGTTAAGCAAATCACCCAGTTGTTAAGCAAATCTGGCTTTCCCCATTGACTTTGCTTGTCAGAAGCTGGTTTGCAAATGGCCATCATATGACTCTGGGACACTGCAACCTTTGTAGCTAGGCACCAATTATCAAGGATCTGAATGTTGATCATGTGACTGGGGATGCTGCAATTTTTCAGGCGCTTACCCCGGTTTCCCTATATTATTCCCTAGGTTAAACAGGGCTGCTGAAATCTTTGTTCCCAAGTTTTCAGGGTTGCAACTATCAAAAATAAAGAGACACCAGGAATTTTCTTATGAGTCTAAAAATATATAGGAAGCTGCTCTTTAGCACTACTTCTATGCACATGTATGAACCCCTCTTAATGCTGGACAAAAAGCAGAAGAGAGGTATTTTCAATTGTCTGTGTATCCTAACACGTATTTGCTGGCATTACAAATGCAGAAAATCAGTATTTGTAATTTAAGTAACACTCACATAATTCTATTAGGTCCATCATCTTAAATGTGGCACATAGCTATTGTGCAAGAAAAGGCTTCAGATGGGAGTTGAACTCAACTGAATCAGCAATTTTTCCATCACATTGCTTCCTTCCACAGTATCTTCCTTGAGATCCTCTCAGCTCATCCAAATGATTTTGGACATGTGCACATTTACTTTTACTTTTTTAGAGAAGGAATTTAGGGGTAGAGTTAGCCAGATTGTGGATGCATTGCTTGTTGCTGTCTACCTATTTGGCAAAAGAAAAAAAATACTCATTGGCAAGATAACTATATACTGGGGTTTCGAACACGAATTTTTGCCATCCTCCATGGAGATGCCAGGAATTGAACTGGGATCTTGGTCTACAAAAGAAATGCTCTGCTACCCATTTATGAACCTCCTTTTTCTCAGACTAGTCGACATCAGTTCTCGATGTACAAATGCCAAATGGAATGTGGCATTGGAAGGCAAGGAACCAAGACCACCCTTACTTTCTTGAGCAGTAGATCCTGTTACATCATCCCAGTGGGGGTTCTGCATGAGTTCAGAGCCAGCAGAGTTTAGTGTGAACACTTTCAGTGCTTGGCTACTAGAGAAGGCAAAAGAAACATCAATGTCCTAACATATTGGCTTGAGGTATTTTCCTTGGCAAACAACTGCAGGCCCAGTGGCATACGGAAGATTTTCAGAAGTTTGTGGTAGTATTTCAAAGCATCTAATCTATAGGAGATGGGTTATTCTGGCCAAGGTTCTTAAAGTTATAGGATCTATATGTTTGCAGTTTAATAATGTAAATAATGCATTAATTGCTATGACCTATGGATTTTACTCCATTTTTGCAGATCAGTTCAAAATACCTCTTCCAAAGAAAGCATCAGTGGTATCCAAGCAAAATACAAAATTCCCTTTATACATGTCAACCCTTGTGACAGCAAATGCCATCCAGGCACAGATGGCACCTCCTATGTTAATTTTACCCTGTGAATGTATGGAAAATAAGTTTAAAAAGCAATCTGGGCAGCGAAAGAATCAAACATGTGGAAAAAACATGGAACATGAACTGGAACTGAACAAATACATAATAAAATAACAGTAAAGAAAAGCCTTCAAAGTGTCCAATATATAATGTGTTAGGTGGAGATGAATGTTTGATTAACACAGCTGTGTGTGCCGGAATAACTCTTCCTGTATTTCTACCCAAGAGGACATGAATGAAATAAAACATTTCATGCTCTAGAAACAACACAATGCTTCCAGCAGATTGGGCTTCATCAGTTTCTCTGGCCACCTTGATTCTCAGACTGAATTATTTCTGCATATTTTTATGTCTGAAACGTAAATGGGGAAAAGTGCTGAAGAAGAAACTAATAAAACTTCATTTTGTAGATGAAAATATTCAATGGGTTCTCATCAATTTTCATGATTATAAGTATACTTCATATAGTTAGTATAAGGATGTGAAAAGGAATCCTTCCTAATCTATTCATGATCTAAAGTTAGCAAGATAATGAAATTCAGATCAACTGTACAGAAAAAGTAGAGAAGCCATCAAAACTGCTTCCATTTTACATGGTAACGTTTCGGCTTTCAGCAATATTACAGAAGAAATATAACATTTGATTTTTGGAAAATATCCCTTTCTACTCCTATTACATTTTATTGGGTTTGATTTAATGCAGTTTGTTGTTTCTGGCGCATATGCCATGGCAGATCAGCTCCACACGTATTACTTTGAGTCTGAGGAGGTCTACATGTATAAAATGTGGAAGATTTTTACCAGGCACCCCAACTATACATCATCTGACTTGCAGGAGAATCTTCTTGGTAATCACAGAATTTGGTAAACTTCCTTAGAGGAGGAATTTGAAAACATGTTGGATCCAGACTTCCCTCCTTGCAAATGTAAAGGACCAAATTCGTGAAGTTTTCTGTTAGAAGAATGGGATAGGGAGTGATAGTTCCTATTTGCAGTTTCTAGTTCCTTCTTCTGTACTGTTCCGGAAGATGCCCAAACCAAAAAGTAGTAAATAGAAGACACATTATATCAAGGAAGATGTAAGTGATGTTGAGGAGGGCGGCAATCTTGATATCAGCCTTACCAGGTAGTCTAGACAGGATATATAACAGGATAAGCTAATTGTAAAGCTATATTAACAGAATCTTGCAAGCCTGAAAGTAGAGGGTCCTTTACAGCCTGAGAAACTAGAGGGGATTCCTTCTGAGTCTCTTACCTCACCTACTAACCAACAGTGGGTTATGTTGTCTCTTATCTAACTGTTCCCTTGGCAGCATCTTTTCATCTTCATTATTCTGTTATCTCCCAAGGTCTTTCCCATCTATCCTTGCACCTAATATATTGCTACCAGTTAGTATATATTAGGTATAGGGAGCCTGTGTACCATCAAGATATAAGCAGGTTCTTTGTCTATAAGTGCATCCTTATGTAAAGGCAGAGAGTGGGTTGCTTGACTTGGATTAAGTATGGAGAAGAAAGCTAATGTATTAAAGTTCACATTTGCAAACCAACTTACACACCGAAATGATTATTCAAAATCTGGACTTTCACCTTTGCAAGGCAGTTCCCTGATATTTTGAAAAAGATGCTCACCAGAGAGAAGACCATTCAAAAACATTTCATGCATTGCATTAAGAAAAACTGCAAAAAAATAAAATAAAAAATAAAAATAGGGTAGGCAAATTTCTAAGCAAATGCCTATGGTTAGAGGTATACATACAAAATTCAGTCTGAAGTGTTTGGTTTTTTTTTTTTTTTTTTTTTTTGTATGTGTAAGTTGGATAAATTGAATCTCACCAATTTGTAAAAATGGGAAACAGAAGGAAGCCGGAATGGATATACCAGTCATCCCTAGCTTGGACCCTATGAGAAATTAAATTAAGAGCTTAGGGGATGGAAAATTTCCCACCCCTCCTTCCTACCACAAACTTCAAAAAGCCTCTCAGAAAGGTTGAGAGGCCCTCCTGAG